CCTGGTTGAACTTGTACAGAGCCTGGACAGAAATACAACACACACAAAAAAATGGGTGAAAGCTGGAAGACGGATGGAAGATAGAATTTATATTAACAAGCTCCCGGGGCTTACTGAGGTGCCCTCAAAGAGGTCCAGGATGAAGGTGATGGCGCTGCTGTTGATGCCAATGAAGAGATTGACACATGACAGAGAGACGTAGGCCGTGCTGGGGACGCTGAATATGTAGGACATGGGGTACATCATGGGGCTCACTGACCACCTACAACATAAACACAGAGAGAGATTTTAAAAAACAAAAATAATTAATTCTGCAAGCAGCGATGGTCGGGTCCTCGCCGTACGATTGTCAACCGTCGCACATGTCACGGTTTGGCAGAAACGTTCTCCGGGTAGGACTCTGATCCGGCTTGTCAAGTTTCGGACAGATCGAAGCACATGCGGCCTAGTTATAAGCCACTTCCTGTTTAATGGCGAGCCGAGGCAGTATGCATGGCATGGTGTGCTGGCAACGCGCTCTGGTTTGGACTCGGAGCACGTATGTAAAGTTTCAGGCAGATTGGAGCACGTACAGGCCAGTTACATAGCACGTCTCTTCAAAATTTCTTCAAAATGGCAGACTTCCTGTTGGGTTTAAGGCTTGACACTAATTGAGTTTTTTGTGCATCCCGACCTGCTACATATGAGTACCGATTTTTGTAGCTCTAAGTCCAACATAGCCCCGATGGGACTCTATTGAAATACTGTTGGGGGTGCAGTTGAGCCATGTTGCATTTTAGAGCTTCGAGCTGGCCAAGTCTTTTGTTCATCCCAATTCGCTGCCTTCTAATCAGCTTTTAAATTCAATTCTGGTAATGATGAGCAGACGTTACAAAAACCTTGGCATTGAAATATGTGCCATTTTGGATTAGGCATATTTGGTATTTTACACAATAATATTTTGCAGATTCAAAAGTCCAAAATAAAACATCAATAAATCATGCTTAGCTTGATTTGGAGAGATTAGAATTAAAACAAAAACAAAAAACAAACAAAAAAAACACTGATTTTAACATTGTGTATTAAATTATTTAAAGAGAAAAATGTGACATCTAAGTGCGTCAGTCACAATGCTAGGAAAGCTAATGAAGCAAATGAGGACAACACACCAGTGTTTACGGTAACTATGAAATTTAAAAATAACAATAATAATAATTTAAATAAATGACATTTAACAATGCAGATATGATAATATCGAAAATCATCCAAAAACAGTCCAACATAAAGCAACATACAGTATAGTTACAGTTACAGACTCTCCTGCTACCTCATTACATTCGTATTTTAAGTGTAATTCTTTTGCCGAAAAGAGACAAAACACCCCAAAAACATCCCTCCATTATCTATACACCGCTTAATCCTCACTAGAGTCACAGGGGACATAGTCTATCCCAGCTGACTCAGGGTGAAGGCAGGTTCACCTGGACAGGTCACCAGTCTATCACAGGGCTACACTTAGAGACAGACAACCAAGCACACNACCATTTGAAAGATCCTAGCCAGGGAGGAGGAGGAGATCTTGTACTGAAGAGTGTTGTGGTGTTTCTCGCTTTGGATGCAGCCCGGGAAGGTGCTCTCCATGAACGCTTCAGCAGGGTTCAGGTCTGGGGCGCAGCCAGGCTTCGCTGCCCTGATCTTCATGGTCACCACGTAGCCGTCGCCAAATCTAGGTCAACAGTTTCAGAAGTTAGATCATGTGCTCGTGCGTCTGAGAACCTTTGGTGTGTTTTGTGATGTTAAAACAACTGAAATGACCAACTTGTATTTAAGATGCTGAATGGTTCCCAGACACTTGAACGATCCGTTGACCATGATGGCTAAGCGGGTACACAGAGCCTCGCATTCCTCCATACTGTGAACACAATATAGTGACAATTAAACTCTATACCCATATATATGCATATGTGAGAGCACACACACACACACACACACACACACACACATATATATATATCTTTGCATATATGTATATATATGAAGAGTTTACTTGTAAAAACATTTAGCTCCATCTTCAAAAACCTTCAGAAAACCGTCTTTTCCATCATCTACCTGAGACAACATCAATCAAACTAAACTTATCTCTGAGTCAGATCCACTCAGCTTCAGTTTGACTGACATAATCTCAAGTGAGGGTTTGGGATAGACAAACAAAAACAAAACTAGTTTTCTGAAAACCTAAAAAAATGGAGTTATGTGTTGTTGCAGATGAACTACATGAAATGAGATATAAATCGATTACCTGTGTGAGGTGAGCACCACAGCTCGTCTGTCCTGAATAACACTCATGATGGAGTTCCAGAGAAAGCGTCTGGACAGAGGATCCATACCGGTAGTGGGCTCATCCTACAAGCGCAAAACCACAAATACATGCACAAAAACATTACGTCTGTTCTACCATTCTCATAACTGCAATCTTTATCCAAAACCTCTAATCCAACCAGCACTGTCATCAGTGTGGGCCTCACCAGCAGCACCAGGGCAGGACAGCCGATCATAGCAATGGCCGTGGAGAGTTTCCTCTTGTTGCCTCCACTGTAGGTCCCAGCACTTCGGCCTGCGTACTCCGAGAGCCCCAGCTTCTGGATCGCCCACTCTGCAACCTGGATCAGAGGTGGATAAGCGCCTTGTGTTTACAATGCAGTCAGAAAGTTGGGCACTTGGTCGCTAACAACGTCAGACCGTCCATCCATCATCTATACACCACCTAATCCTCATTAGGGTTGTGGGGGGCTGGAGTCTATCCCAGCTGATTCAGGGTGAAGGCAGGTTCACCTGGACAGGTAACCAGTCTATCACAGGGCCACACTTAGAGACAGACAACCAAGCACACTCACATTCACACCTACGGACAATTTAGAATCACCAATTAACCTCAACATGTTTTTGGACCGTGACAGGAAGTCGGAGAACCCGGAGAGAACCCACGCTGCACGGGGAGAACATGCAAACTCCACGCAGAAAGATCCTGGGCGTCCTCACCAGGACACAAACCAGCGACCTTCTTGCTGCGAGGCAACGGTGCTAACCACCGAGCAGCCTTGCAGCCCAATGTCAGACCAAGTTTTCAAATTCTTGTTTCTTGCCGTGGCAAAAGCTGCCTCTCACCCTGCTGATCTCAGACTCCGGGACTCCTCGGAGACGGGCGTAGAGGTGCAGATGTTCTCTGCCTGTCAGCAGCTCGTCTATGGCATCAAACTGAGGGCAGTAACCCATGTTCTGGTGGACATCCAGGATATCTGTCAAAATGCTGAGAGGACACAATGGAAACAGTAAAACATGATAAAAAGTTCTTTTAGACATACTGGTAATGAGAGGTGTTTTCATTGAGCTATTATAGGCTGTTATAGGAAGGTAATCAGAATTTAGAAAGCAGTTTCTATGCCTTAGCAAGTCTTTGGTCAGACACATGATGTGCCTCAAGCATTCTTTTAAAACACTTAAAATATCAGAGATTATCAGCCCGATACTGATATCAGCCTTTAAATTCCACATCAGTGAACTATCATCGTATTACGAACCTGTGACCAGCGACTGAGGCCTCTCCTGAAGTGACATCGATGTCTCCGGTTAACATCTTAAACGTCGTGGTCTTTCCTGCTCCATTTACCCCCAGGAGACCGAAGCACTGCAGATGGTGAGGAGAAGGAGAAAGACACACAAACGATAAAGTTAACAGACTGTTTCCTCTCCGGATTAAATCGGTTTTAAATCAGTTTAACCAGGCCCGCACAGACCTCTCCGGGTGACACTCCGACACAGATCCGGTCCACCGCGGGGATGATTGTTCCTGTGTATGTCTAGCAGGGCGAGAAAAAAACGCTGAAATAGTTGGTTCACAACGTTGATTGTATTATTTTGTCTAAAATTCCTCATAATAAAGACGAGCGTCTGACCTTGGACAGGTCTCTTGCGCGAAGAATGTCGTTGGTTTTTTCACTACTGTAGATTCGCTCTCTTTCATCGGCCACATCCACGTCTTCATCCAAAATATGAGGCTTTGGGCAGTCTGGTATCCTGCCAGTGGAAAAATAGCTATCAATGTACATGTGCTCTTTACACCACATTTTAGTTCATATTATCTGTGTGCAGTGATATTTATTACATGAAACTCATACGATTTTGCATCCAATTCAATGCACTTGCCAGTTATTGAGGAAGAAGCGATACTGGAAGAGAATGTTGAGGATGGAATAGACGAATCCCTCAACAATCATGCAGAACAGGTTCTTCCCAATGAAGTCCCACTTAAAGGGGTCTGGACTGTAGTCCTCGCCTGAGAAAAAACATATAAACACCATCACCTGTAAATCCTGCCTTCACATCTGGCTGTTTTCTATTAACACACGTTCTACAATCTATTTAATGTGAAGGACACTGAAGCACATAAAAAGTCAGACGCACATAAAGTTTCTTATTTTTTATCATTTCAACAGTTTCACGTCAACGCTGGAGAGTCTAGTGGGGAAGATTTTGTGCACTAGTGCTTTGTAGAGTGTGTTACAGCTCTGCAGCGGGCTCAGGCCTTGATGGCGAGTGTGTCGTATTAGATTCCTGATGCAGGCAATGACTCAGCATTCATTTATAGTGTTAAGATGATGGCTGACAAGTATCCGCTTGCTGGACTGTGAGAAATGTGAGTCTGTGTGTGTTTTGGAATTACCAAAGCGAGCATAGATATCAGTCATCGCCTGGTTCATGGCCATGTCGATGAGACCTCGACCCAGGCAGTAATGGGGGAAGATGAGCAGCAGCGTCTTTAACGCCTGGTTGAACTTGTACAGAGCCTGGACAGAAATACAACACACACAAAAAAATGGGTGAAAGCTGGAAGACGGATGGAAGATAGAATTTATATTAACAAGCTCCCGGGGCTTACTGAGGTGCCCTCAAAGAGGTCCAGGATGAAGGTGATGGCGCTGCTGTTGATGCCAATGAAGAGATTGATACATGACAGAGAGACGTAGGCCGTGCTGGGGACGCTGAATATGTAGGACATGGGGTACATCATGGGGGTCACTGACCACCTACAACATAAACAGAGAGAGAGATTNGACAGTGTACTGTTTGGCATTAACGTGTAGAGGCCTTATCAGGTAGTCGGTGATAACTGCTGTGGTTCTCTTGCTCATGTTGTCTAATCTCAGGTTTTAGAAAATGTTTTTATAAAAGTGAATGTATGTCTGAATAAAAATCCACTTTATTAAGAAAAATGAAACTTTATTTGACATGATTTTTCTTATAGAAACATGACTTTTTTCACATTGTGTCATCTCCCTCTATTGACAATAAAATTTTTATTCTGTAAAAAAACAGTCTTAACCTAGCTGGCTCTAGCACACCTCAGCATAGATACCTGCCCACATGCTTCCTCTGCAGCAGTGGTCAATGTTGACTGGCCTGCCCTCCCAACAGTTTTGTACCACATTAGTCATCAATTTTCTGCCTTGAGTTCTCGCACCAGGATGCCAGCGTCACTGACTACTATCCCCACATCAGTAACCCTCCACTTTTACACACCAGGATGACAGATTCTCCATCACTTTCAGTGCAGATACCAACAGGTACAGGTACCAACTGCTGCAGCGGCAGTCACTCTTGAGTTGTTTATCCTCACAACCTCACAAAACACAACCAAGTTACTAATCCTACGTCACATCTGCTACAACTCTCATCTTTATTCCAGCACCGTAACACACACTCAGAACTCATCCAACCCCGGCCTCATTAATCTCAGTGCCTTCAGACTGTTTTCACCCATGAATCATCTCACTGTCTTCAGCAAGTGCAATAGTTTCAGTCTGCTGGAGAAGATCCAGATGCCACAGACCCACTGCCAATCAAAGAAGTAAGAAGTTCGACATCAACAGTCTCGTGCCTGCATTCTGGCAACATAACGCCAGTTCGACTCATCTTCATGCCTCGCTTAACAATTTTGACTCATCCTGGCCCTGGGATGCCAGTTTTCTCATCTCTATCCTTCCATTCAACAAATTCGGCTCTCTTTCTGGCACCAAGATACCAGTTTCACTAGCTTCATTATATCCGTCAACAGGTACAATTCTGACACTGGGATACCAGTTCCTTACACCATCATACCCCCCCGTCAACCTTCTGTTTAAATTTCCAGTAAAAGATGCCAGTTGCACATACCTCCATTGACCATGTCAATAGGTCACCAGAGAGGCATCCCAATCAAGCATCCTAACCAACTCAACTGGCTCACCTTGACACAAAGGAGCAACAACTTTACCGCAAGCTCCCTCTGGATGGCGAGCTCCTCACTCTATCTCAAGGCCATGCCCAGCCCATCCTATGGAGGAAACTCATTTCAGCCTCTTGTTCCTTCAATTTTACATTACTGCTAATGCTGCGCCAGGCCGCCTGTCCGTCTCACATTCTATTCTTTTATTACTCATGAACAAGATTCCAAGAAGCAGTCACATCTTCACAGACATGCTCCTTGTGCCGGTTTTGGCGGTTCCTTGGTCAACGATGGTCTCCATGACCTAGCCCCCGCGAGCTCTCGCAGCTTCTTCAAAAACTCTCCAGCCATCTTCAGCAGTATTCAAAACCCCACCCCATCATTATCACTACCCTCTCATGGAGCCATGAATGGTCAAGCAAAAATCCCTCTTTGTTTACCTCGCTAGCCTCGCCCTCATCGTCTTTATAAACAAAAGTCTTAGCAACTCTCTCACAGTCATGCCTCTTGTGCGTCACCTCACGTGGCGGTCAGTCTCCAATCTGCTCCTCCTCCATGTCGAACACTTTCCAGGCTACTGCAACAATATCACTGACTCCCGTCACTCCCTCTGTAATAGACTCTGCTCCTCCTTCCATCATTCTATAGAGCCACATTATCCAGCTCCATCTTTTATTGTTTAATTCCAGTTGGGACTCAAAATTCCCATGACACCTCTGCAGCATAATGTATTAACCATGGTCATTTTCCTCTGACATCTGTCCACCCATCCAAGGCATCAGCACGTTTCAGTGTCCTACGTTCCAGCCTCTAGCTGGCACTCTAGAATCTATTCATCTTCCTTTGTTCCTCTGATGCACAGAGTCCATTGCGACATTGACCAATGAGTTAAGTTAGATCCACACTGCCATCCTATGGAACCTCTTCCACATCCTGTATTTGACCTTCCAGCATCTCTGAAGAATGCATGGTGCATTCACTCAAATGAAGTCAAACCAATCGGAGGGCAATCCAACGCCGATCATGTACTTCAAACCAGATTCACACCCAAGCCCTTACAAAAATACACCATAACGAACCAGAAAATCTCAGGATGTTTTGCTTTCTGACCCTCAGTTCGTTACAGAGACTGGTCAAGCCGCAGCCTTCGCACAACTTTTCTTCCACTTCAAAGATCCTGATGACATCCAGAATCCCAGCATGTTCTCTGGTCACTCCTTCTGCATTGACACAGCTTCCAGCTGAGGGGTTCCAGACCACCTAATCAAGGCCACGGGACTCAAGGGTATCGGCTTCTGATCTGATCCTACCCTTAAGATCCACATTATGTCCACTCTTTGTTTCATTCTCATGGGACCCTTCTGGGGGTCCGCCGACTCTGCTGATCCCTGACTAAGCATTTCCCCACACTGTATCAGCTCATTTAAATTATTGCCAATGCATTGCTCGTTTGCATCCAATAAATAATCAAGCTTCAGTTTGATGGTTTTGTCCGAGCTAGTGAATGTAGAAAATAATTAAAATAACTAAAAACCATTGAATGAGAAGGTGTGTCTAAACTTTTGACAGGTACTGTATGTCATATTCCCCAGTGGCTTAAAATAATGTAATAATATCATGTTCTGTGATGCTACATTATGATGTGTTTTACATACATTTTATATTCAAAGTACGCCTACATTCTCAGTTGTAGTTCACGTTAGCCTAACCTAGCCACTAAGTGAGCTTGAAAAGATATATGACTTATTATATTGTATATAATAATAGATAAGTATATTTTTATCTCTGTATTGATGTGTTTTAAAGTTTTATAGTGTAAATCCTGCTCATATACATTGAAACAAACAAACAAAAAAAGGTCACAGATATAAACTAAACCCTAATGTGAATCTGAATGTTTGGACTGTTTTAAAAATATGGAACGACATCACAGCTGTTTTTATCTGGTCACTTGACACATAAAGTACTCCCCTGATGAATCGCCATCTTATCGCGGTGGAGGGGTTTGAGTGTCCCTGTGATCCTGGGAGCTATGTTGTCCAGGGCATTAGCCCCTGGTAGGGTCCCCCAAGGCAAATTGGTTCTAGGGGAGGGACCAGACAAAGAGCGATTCAAAGACCCCAGATGAAAACACAATAAAGGAAAGCCGCCACCTCGCCTGGATCAGGGAAACCGGGGCTCTCTCCTGGAGCCAGGCCTGAGGAGGGAGCTCACGGGAGAGCATCTGGTGGCTAAGCCTTGGGGCCCCGTGGGGCTTGGTCGGGCACTGCCCGAAGAAGTAACACAGGGCCACTTCCCAGAGTGCCCACTACCCACAGGGCAGGGGATCAGGGTCGGGTGTTATGCCCACCGGGTGGTAGGCAGGAGCGGGCGTCCTGGCGTACTGCCCCCTGGTGGCATAGACTAGCTGTAGGGACATGGAATGTCACCTCACTGGTGGGGAAGGAGCCTTAGCTGGTGCGGGAAGTGGAGCGCTACTGGCTAGATATAGTCGGGCTCACCTCCATGCACAGCAAGGGCTCCGGAACCAAACTTCTGGAGATGGGTTGGACTCTCTCCTTTTCCAGAGTTGCCCATGGTGAGAGGCGCTGGGCAGGTGTGGAGATACTCACAAGCCCCCTGGCTGAGTGCCGCCTTGTTGGAGTTCTCCCCGGAGAACGAGAGGGTCGCTTCTCTGCGACTGCGTGTTGCAGAGGGGAAAACTCTGACTGTCGTGTGTGCTTATGCACGAAACGGCAGTTCAGAGTCCCCAGACTTCTTGGAGTCTCTGGGTGGTGTCCTGGAAGGGGTGCTGCCTGGGGACTCCATAGTTGTCCTGGGGGACTTCAATGCTCACATGGGCAATGGAGGGGAGTGATTAGGAGGAACAGCTTGCCTGATCTGAACCAAAACAGTGTTTTGTTTTTGGACTTCTGGGCTCCATCTGCAGAAATCTCTGGTTCAATCCTTCTGGCCACTGCATCTGCTGGAAACGATCTCCACCACCCATGCCACCTGCTTCCCCTTTCCCTCTCTAGCTCCTCTGTCAGTAAGCCCTAGTCTCCTGCTGATTCCGTTTATTTACTTTAGTAGTGTTAATCATAATTGTTCGTTTTAGATTTTTCCTCACCCTCCTGACTTAGTTTTGTCAAGTTTAGGTTGGCGAGTTTTGGTTTCTTTTTGTTAAGTTATTTGTTTGTAATTAGTCCTACTTTACAGTTGGTGTCAGTCTAGTTCAAATTTCCTAGTTCCCCTTTGACCTGCTAGTATTTCCTGTTCTGCTTAATTGTAGTCTTTTGTAGTTATTTTTCCCTTTCCTGTGTAAATTTTTATATACTTCTAAATACCGTAAATATATTGTTAGTATCTGCCTGTTTCCTGTTTTCCTGTGTCTGTGTTTGAGTCTGAGTCCATTTTGTGACACATTGTTGATGATGATAAAGATGATAACGTGTAGAATTCAGATTGTTTAAAATGTCATGTATGTTTCCATGTCATGTTCATTTTGGATGCTTACAGCAGGCAGTGCCTTCTACAGTCTGTCTGCAGAAAGAAACACCTGAAAACCAGCAGGTGAAGCATGATGATAAAATACCAAGCAGCTATGAGGGACTGAAAAGGGCCACAAGGCAAGTAACAGCGAAATAAAGAAAAAGATAGATGTTGTGTTTTAAGGTTGTGCTCTTCATGATAAAAACCTTCTATTTTGAGCACAAAATAAAAATCAAAGGATGAAACTGACTCCAACACAGAAACTCTCAACACATAAGACTTTATTGAATAAAGACTTCAAAAGAACCCATGAACAGTGTTCATCATGTTTAACAGTTCAGTTATACAGGA